GACAAGCTTTGGAAATCTTCCGAAACGGACGTGGCAAGCAATTCAGCATATATCGCGAAAGAGTTTTCGATGATGTTGCAAAGACGTGGCTTTTGATCTACAGAGTCACGAAGGATTGCGGAAACGTCGCATACAAAGATTTCTTCGAAAAGGTTGCCGTTCCCGAGGTGAAGGAGAGGAACGAGATCTTTGGATTCTCCCGTGCATCCGCTGAGAAAACTGGAGATATCATCGAGTTCTGGCTTGGTGTATTGGATGTAGCAAACATGGCCAAGGGAGTTGTGGACATTTTCAATGCCAGTGTCGATCCAGCCGAGTATCTCAATGGATTGGAAAAGGCATTGGCGCAGTTCACTTCGACCTCCAGAACCTCAAGCACCATCAATGACAAGAGACGGGGATCCTTCGACTGCACACTGCAGACTGCAGAAGCCGAAAGGGTCATGAAGATCATCCACGCAATCCCCGGATACGACTCACTGGCTAACTTCTGCTGTCTTACGGACTGGGAGAAGGACCAGGTGTTCACCCACTATCGGAAGAAGAACAACATCACAGGGGATAATGCCAGCATGGGCACTGATGCAGATGCCAGGCCAGGTGACGAGTCGTCGGCTCACCCTGGGGAGGAGGAAGCTGATGAGCCAGCAAATGATCCAACCGATGTTGTCAGGGACTCAGAGATTTCCGGGAAACAACAACTTTTGGATGCGTTGGGAAAAATCTTCACCGTCTCCGAGGATGTCAATGTGTGTTTGTATTGTGGTAGCACCAAACACAGCCATCTTGAATGTGAGCATGAGAAGAGAGATGAAGTCAGAAAGGTGCTAAAGGCCGTCCGAGCGTCGCTCGAGGCTGATAGTCCAACATCTGATGACGTCGATATGGAGCCTCCTGAGCACAAGAAGGACGGTTCAGGTGCTACTGATGGGTCGGGGCAGACGGAGGAACCCACCAGATCGAGGTTTAGCGAACACCAATGGTACGACAGCATCAGAACCATGTCTGAAGTTGGTGACCTCGATGAATATGGTAGATTCTGCATAGAAGGACGTGATGTCACAAAGCTTGGACCACAGAACATTGTTGACCTCAACGAAGTGATCCGAGACGCTATTGTCAGAGGAGGAGGCGACTCGTGGTCTGTGCCAGAATTCATGGCAAGCTATTCTGATAACAACATCAGGAAGCCCTTCTACAAGAGAGTTGAGGCGCCACAAGATGGTTTCTTGAAAATCATCCCAACGACGGGGGCACATTTCTTCAATTGCTCCTATTTCGGCGGCGTCGAATATGCAGCAAACTACCGCTTCGATACTGGCAACCGACTCAACACCTACGAGGACAGAGTGAGTGCATCACTAAACAGGATCCTGCGGCACAACGTGGGGAAGGTATCAGAGCAACAAAGTCTGCCATGTGATGACGCCGGCTGGGTGCCCATCGAGGACGTGCTCAAATGTGAGTCCATCTGGAGGCACGACTATGCACGCTGGCCACATGTGTTCCTTGCTCCAAAAGGAAGAGCAAATGATCAGAGTGCATGGAATCTCAAAGAGGCAAACTTCCGCATGACATTGCTCTTCAAGATCATGTTCCACTGTGCCCGGTACGGACGTCGTGTTCGTGAACAAGTCTTGGCATTTGGCATCAACAAGGACATTGAGCGCACAAGCCTGACGTGCATTGACAACAAGGTTGATGCAGACACGAACATCCCTGATGAAGGTCTACTGCTATACCCTGTAGCGGTCCGTGCTCCTACGGGGCACAAAGAAGGATCATCAAGGGACGACGTTTCGTTGCTATCCTCACTACTTTCACATCCAATCGCGCCCAGCACCATTTTATCGTTACCGGTTTGTTTCCACATCACCAAGAAGACCAACCTTCGAAGTATTTGGAGGCAGGGATTAATTCCAGGAGGTCTTGGAGAGGGTCATCGGATGTTCACGTTCTTCAACCCGTATGTGCCTTGGGATCACAGATCTTGGACCATCACGAAGAGCGTTGATACGCGAAGGGGGGACTACATTTGCTTGTTCGTCCCGACCGAGACCTTGATGGTGGAATATGGCGGTCGACTGACTGACTCGGGACAGATCGTTTCACCAAAGATCATCCCGTTCTCGGCAATCAAAGGAGGATGGATTCAGGACCCCAGGGACCAAAACAATAAGACGTGGCTCCGGTTGTTCGTCCCGTCGGGCGACGACCAGGTAGTTCGGTCTGGTACGGTCAAATCAAGAACGGTAGCCACCAAAGAGTCCATCTTGAGGGTTGCAAGGCAGTGCATCGACGCCGAAGACCAACCGTTTGACGAAACCGCCATGGATGCCATGAACATCGTCAACAAATTTGAGAACAACCTCATCGAACCTGGTGGACAAGAGCAATACATGGCCCGCATCAAGCTGATTGACTATATAGTCGAACGCAAAAGGGTGCAAACATCAGGTTGCCGTCATTGTCCTCACTGTCTCAATGAGACGCCGACAAAGCTAGCGGTTTGTCTAGTTTGCTGGACGGAACTTGAAAGTTGTGGAATCCGTCCATATCGGCTACAAGCTCCTGAAGATGATGAGGATGAGGCCTCGAAGAAAGAGCTCGATGATGAAGTTCGTCGACAAGAAGAGTCATTGTTCAAGGATACGGTCAATCAAGCACAAGAGAATGTGTCCGAATCCAACGACTATGGCTTCAATCCCGATGAGGTCGATTACAACGAAGGCGATGATGAGGAAATGGATCAGGAGGAGGAAGCCCAACAAGAGGATGACGAAATCGTTGAAGAAGACGACGACGAAATGGACGTCGAACCTGAAGATGAACCCTCTTCCAAACTTCCAGCGTGGACCAAGAACCTCGAGAGCGGAAGCAAGGGTATGCCAGAAGACGGACTTATCAACAATGATGTCTCCGAGGCCGCGGCTCACTTGTATGACAACGCAGTCATGTCAAAGATCATCACCATGTTCCGGTTTTATTACAAACAAAGAGTCACCATGACCCCAGAGGAATACCATGAGATGATGACAGTGACCAAGCGAGTCCGGCTGGACTTGGACGACTTCTGTCCTTACACAGGAGAAGACCAGGATGGCAACCTCAAGCGACCGACGGAGCTGGAGTTGGACGAACTCTTTCAGGAGAAAGCGAAGAGGAATTCATGGTCAGAAGGAGAGAAGTTGTATTCAGGACGACCCAGAAACATGATGATGCCTGTCATCAAGACTTTGGAGATCTATGAGAAGATGATGGAATTTCTGGTATGCGCCGGATACACTCCAGAATCACTAGGCTTCCTCATGCCAATGAACCGAATGCAGGCTGATGCCCAAGGGAAACAGGAGATGCGAGTGACAATCAGCAATTTCCTTCGGCGACTTCTCAAAGGGACGTTCCCAGAGCACGAGTCGTACACGTTCTTTCGTTCCGGGAGCCACGGCTTCCCCGACTGCATCGAACTTCCAGCCTTCTCAGTTTATCTGAGCCTAAGGGAGAAAGAACAGAGAGTCGAGTTACTCTTTGCAGCCCAACAATGTGGAATTCCTTTACCACAAAATTTTGTCAGCAAGATGGCATATGCTATTCAGCTGGCTGAGGCTGAAGCGCAAAGGGGAAAGACCGAAATGAAAACGAAGATGGCTCCAACCCTTGGTGACGAAGTGGTGAGCGAGGTGTTCAAAGCGGTTGGACATACTGCAGCTTCAAAGTTTGCTAAACCACCCGCACAACCTTCACAGAAGCCTGAAGGCACTGGTTCAGCATCATCCTCATCGACTAGCGCGCCAAAGGCCAAAGCTATGCCGAAATCCCATGAACCATCAAAGGCACCGCCTGCAAAGCCTTCATCGCCGAAAGCTGCTCCAAAACGTGCGGCACAATGGGAGAAACCTCCATCAGCACCCCAATGGAAGAAAGTCCGCCGTGAGGAGTAAACCAATTGCTTCATGATCACTGGTCTATGAGATGTGTATTGTCTTTGTGAACTGATGATCAGGAAAAGCCTAACTGAGTGGACTCTGAGCGAGGCATTAGACTAATTCGCTTAGGTTCAGAACTTTTGATATTCCCAATCTGCACGAGGTTCTGCATTGTGCACGTGAATTAGTTAGTTAGCACTGTCAATCTTTGGTAGCGAGGCGATCCATTTCTCCCGACGGGTGAGTGGTGAGCTTAGCCAACGTAGAAAAGTAGGTGTTAGCTAGCAATAATTCGCGTTGTACAGCTTGATGAAACGCCAATGCATCGACCGCCAAAGAGTAGGTGAACCCTGAACCATTATACCCGACGGGTATGTGGGGAAGGGGGAGCCGAATGGCACGTTTTATGTGTATAGGCGTAATTCAAGTAGCAGAATGAATCTAATTCAAAGTTCCCTCTCTCGTGTTCGTGGCTCGAAGAATGCCACGGACATGGGGGGTGTCAAAGGGAACGCTGTGTAATCACATGTATATGGGACGCCATTATGGCTCAAGACCCCATTGCGAAGGTAAAAGAGTGTTTCGCTGCGCGCCATGACAGAGTGAGTCCGGAACTACCCGCACACAAGGCATCAATCGAAATAACAGCCTCGAACAAGGGTAAAATTGTTCACATATATATACACTATATTATATATATATGATATATATATATATATATATGTACATTCACTGATTTTCGACCATCCATATGAACAAAAAAACTGATTTTGACTTGACTCATCTCCATATGTGACCTTTAAGCATTTCCCATGTTCTTCCAATTACCTACGGGACATTCACAGAACATTCGATAGGATTAAATCCGTGGGCACCACCCCATCCCATGAAATATCCAATATATAAATATCATACTTATATCTAGATATATCCATGTTATCCCATTATCCAATCAGATATCCCATATATCCCATATATCCCATATATCCCATATAAATACCATATAATTCGCATATATGCATATATATATATATATATATTCCAGATACGATTACATCTACGACTTTACTCAACATGTTCCCTTCCTCACCGCTACAGATCAGCTTGACGAACTCTTCGACCTCGTCGGCGCCGTCTTTTCTTCGACTGCGCAGCTCCAATGTGCAGAGCTTCACGGTCAGCGCCACGGGGCAATTGGCCCAGCTGTCGAAGGCGCCTTGGCTGGGGATTTCATGTTCGCAAACTGTGAGTTTACCAGCGGATAGGGTTTTACCCTCTGGTAAACGTTTACAGAACGAAGTGGAAAATCACCATGTTTAATGGGAAAATTCACTATAAATGGCAATTTTCAACAGCTATGTTAAATTACCAGAGGGTAACCTTTTTCGAATCTTGATGGAAGTCAGATAGTTTATCCAGAAATCGCGTGTCAAATGCTCTTACTTGATGTCTTTTTTGCAACAATCAATCATCCAATCCTTGTTCCAATTCATATTCTGGTTGGTGGTTTGGAGCATTTTTTATTTTTACATAATATATGGGATCATCCTTCCCATTTACTAATATTTTTCAGAGGGGTTGAAACCACCAACCAGTAATCCATGTTCCACTCATTTCCAATCCATCTTCCTGGCTTTGCTTGTTGTGATTTCTGACGATCCCTGGTTGAACGTGTCGTCTTGCCCCGTGCCAAATGGTGCCATGCGAGATGGCCAAAGATGCTCCATTTATGGTGGCGATTTCATCGGCATTTCATAGGATCTTTTTTTTTTTAATGTTTGTTTTCCTGGGGATCATTGGAATATATAATCCAAATAGTTCCATTTCTCATGGGATCATTAATATAATATATGGGAATATATTCAATGAGCCATCATTGTCTCTGTGAAATTCATTTGCCTATATTTGGAGTTTGCAAATGAATTAAAGAGAGAATAATGGCTCTATGTATATGTGTATATATATTATATGCTACAGCTAAAGTTTAGCGTAATGGAAAGTAGTATTCGAGACATCTTTATTTTTGGAAATTGAGCTGGGGCTTGGAAAACGATAAGACACTCTTCAAAAAACGATAACATTTGCTATATTATTCCAAAAACCTGCAAAACGATAAGACACTCTTCAAACATTGATGACTTGGAGCTATTTACTAAATATTGATCGTGGCCCATATATATACATATACATATCATTACATATCTAAATAGTGACTACAACAATTTCCCCGAGGCAATGATAGCCAAACGTGGCAAATTATACGGATGATACTAGAGGGATACTGATGAGTAAGCAATGGGTGTAGTGGAGTATCATATTTTCAGACAAACCCAAATCATATCAAGTTGGATATATATATATATGTATGTATGTATGTATGTATGTATGTATGTATATATATATCCCATCAAACGGAATATCAGTATCACTATCCCATCAATATCAATATTAACATCAAATGGAACGATATCCCATCAGCTCTGAAGCGTTTTTTTTTTGACTTTGCCCAGTGTGGTCGTCTGGGCTGGAATTCTTCATGACTTTGGAGTCTTCCGTAGGGCTAGGGCAGTGCGCTGGAAATCCCAGCACTTGATGCTAGCAAGTAATAGTATCATCTCCATTTTTCAGAGTTTAATATGTTCATAATATATTATAATAGTGTTTAATATTAGGAGATGATGCTAATACGCTTCAATCCTGTTTAATATTTAAGTAGTCCCTATGTTTTATATGTGGTCTAGTAACTATACATCTAGTGGTGGAGGGAGCGGTAAAGGGAGCTATGGTTGTATCCATATTCCCTATTTTGCGCGGAGAACTACGAGTTTCCCAACGGAACGATAGTTGAATCATGTTGACAATGTTTGAGATGCTGTCAAAGTCCAATGATTTAACATTATTTAAGAAACATTTTGTTGGATATGTTTCATTATGATAAGTTAAGATATCTAATAATGCTTGTTATTCTTTATGTTTAAGACATTTATTTCAACACAGTCCAATGTCTAGTGAATTCACAACAACATCTCCATGTCTTACCCCCCATGCGGGGTGAAATTTGGTGAATGACACTGTAAGTTAGTGGATTTTATTTTGCAAATTTCATGGGAAGAATAACCTCTGGTTATTTAATATAGCCATGGAAAATCACCATTTATAATAGGTAAACCATCTATTTCTATGGGCCAGCTATACCATGGCGAACCGTTAGTCATAACCAGAGGGTACCCAGCGAAAATTGCTGGCGAAAACCGTGGATTTCCCAAGTCGATCCACAAGGATTGGAACGAACCATGGTCAACACTGGTTACCAATCTTGGTGATGGTCATCAACCCAATACTAGGAATGTATATATATATAAATATATATATATACACATGTATACTGTATATATGTATATATGTAGATATAACTATAATAGACATTTATTTGCATATATATGTATATATAACCGTTATCTTTGGATTCCTTTTGTATGGGATGGATGACCATTACCCATATCATGTGGACACTGTCCATACCTAGCTCATCTTTGTTTGTAAATCAACTCAACACATTTGTATTGGTTATACAGTTATACATACCATTAAGTCCTCTTAAATCCCATTGAATCCTACTAAATCGTTAAAAAAACACACTTAGTCCCATTAAATCCTGCTAATTCCTATTTATCAATAGACCAGCCAATACAGTTTTTCTTTTGAACACCTGCAGGTAGAGAGTCACATGCATCGGCTGATGGTGGATTCGCAGGTCTTAGACTTTGAGGTGGGAAGACTCGGATTTCAGGTGAAAAGACACGGGAAATTGGCAGCAAACACGGGCACAGATCCAGATTTTACCGGCAAACATGTAACTGACCAGCAAAGATAACAGCAAAAGTGTGACTTGAAAACGGCATGGATTTACCATGATTTACCAAGATTTACCTGTGATTTCAACAGCAAAATCCGATTTCATACAAAAAACAAGTTTAACTATCTGCAAGCATGAGATTGGCATTTGATCATGAAACAATGGGGATCGCATCACAACCTCGGAATTGAATTTGTTGAGATCTTAGGCATTTGATCCAGTCAAGAGACCCTCCATGAAAATGACTTGTGTGGGCCATTGTCAGACAACCCACGTCATATTCAGCCCATGGCATATCCCATGAAGATCCTATTAAATCCACATTATTGATGGTTAAATTCAATCTCAATGATCTCAATGTCAATATTGTTGGAGTAATTATTTTAACCATTCTATCTTTTTATAAACCTTAAGTCTCCAGGTTCATCACAGGTATAGATTTTCAATAAACTCCCCAGTGCACCTTTGTTTCAGTGAAATGATCGTCACAGGGAGATGGCCATGACCGATAAAAATTACAGTTTCCATGATGCCCAAAAAGGGATTTTTTGGCCCAATTTTCCGACACATTTTGACATCTGACCTACGCGGATGCTGAAAAAGGCCATGATGTGTTTAGCAGAAACGATGGCAACATCATTTCGTCAAACACATAAACACCTGGCAATGGACAACCAGCCTTTGGTGGCAAACCCCCATACGACTGGCCTCTTGATTTTATCAAAAAACCTACAGATATGTGCCCCCTAGATAGCTAAGTTGGTTTATAACTCCAATAACTATGGTTTATGGTACCTATAAACTATAGTTAATGGGGTTTATAAACCATCAAACATCACTGGGGGGCCCCACATTGTACAGATATGTGCCCCCAAAAATAGATGTTTCTTCGTTTGGTGAAACACCCATCCAACTGCAGATCCAGTGCCAGCCCCATTTCGTTGAGAGGTCACGGGTGAAACCGTTCACTTTTGCAAAGGCGATGCGATGGAGGATGCGATGTGGTTTCATGTGGTAAACCCAATGCCATAAACCATCCTCAATACGGGTTCATTAATGCTTGCGAGTCTCCATTTATGGTTTTCATGGCATGGTTTATCATTGGGTAAACACCCACACTTTCATGGAATGAAAATCGCATTTGTTTTTGCCTTACATGGCTGGTAGGATTTTTTTTTTCCCCATGGGCCGACCATTCCCCAAGGGAATCGATGTGTCTCTCATGTCTCATCCCTGGCACCAGGATTGGGTGTATCTGGAACTGGGGTATACCTTCAATTATAGCCATTTATGAGGGAAAATGATGATTAAGCATGGGGTTTAGGGGTACACTATTTTCAGACCAACCTAATTGTGGCTCAAAAACATCTACTGTATTCGGCTTTCCGGCTATCCGAAGCCAAGCACGATGGATTCGGTAGGTAAACACACGGTCTTCTGCGTAAATTATAGCGACCAAATTCGGGCTGACGTCACCATAAATGATGGTCTGTGTATGCGGAATGGAGCCGAGATGGCAGGCATTTTGCAGCCTTAGTTACTGTTAGTTTGTGTTAGTTGCCCTGTGGGGGGTGAGGTATAAATGTCATTTTTCATGTCAAATTTTTGAAGGCATAGTTCAGCCTAAGACTTAAGAAAGTCTTGAGTCTTAAGATGGGCGCCTCAATAGCAACAGCCATCCATGTGTTAGCACAGGGAAGCTGTGCTGACACCGGGAAACAGCATAGGGTCAAAAATCGGCTTATATCATATATGTAATTAGATGATATTAGATGTATAGTATAGGACATGTGTTTCCAGGATGTAAGATAAGATGGCCTTTACCGCATATACAATAAAACATAATAAAACAACATGTTAAAAAGGTCTTAAGGTTTCATTCTACGTTGCTCTGCAAATGGGCTTTGGCTTTGACAACAAGCCCTTCTCCCAGAGTAGCCTGGTGATGCACTGCCATTCTCCAACATTGCCCCGTTCCACCGGAGTACCTGTTTCGGAATTCCCAACATGTCCCAAGACATCTCCAAAAAGCACATGGAATTTCCCAAGAGAAAGTGTCATAGGTTGTCATAGTTTGTCCACACAACTGGAAGTGCAGTTCCAAGATGTTCTAAGTATAAGTGGTGATATAATTTATCATTTCACCATAGAAGGTTGATATCCCAATTTATGGCGCTTAAGTCACCATCTTTATACCATTAATCTGGGTAAAACAATACCATGAACCATGCCCCAATCATCACCTATAAGTGGTATAAATAACCATTCCCAGTTATGGCTGGTTTATTATTGTTTTACCCACATTATAGCATATTATACCCAGTATCAGATGGGTTTAAGGGACAATCTGGCCCCCGGAAACCATCCGATTTTCCCATGAAAAGAACGGGCTTTCCATTGACAGTTTTTGTCACTTCTGGCACCAGGAGCCTTCTTGCCAAGCACCATCAACTGGTGCCCCACCGCAGTGGCGCCGTTGCATGGCCGCCACCGCGGCGCACGCGGGACCCATTCGACAGGTCTTTGCTGCGCCGTGGGTGGTGGTGGTGCCGGACGACCCCACGCCGCATGGCAACTGCGGAGAAAGTCTGGGAAAACTGGGGGAAGAACGGATGTTGTGGCTTATTTCATGTTATCGCCCCCTATCTTCTCATATATTTGATGGGATACATGCATGTTTCAGTGCCTGAAATTGTGAATGGGCGACTTGGGGAAAATGATGACAAACGATTGGATTTTAAGGTACTGTACCCAATTTTGAGACAGACCTGAACCATGTGAGTTTTTCACTCACTTTCCAGGTTAGACTCTGAGAAACTGCTTGAAATCTCACTCCAAATCTCCGCTTGTGGGTATCCCAATTTCTGGCGCTGAAGATTTTCTCAGAGACCAGTTTTTGCTTGTCAATACCCATGACGGATCCATGGTGCTGGTATATATGCTAACATTGGGGGTATATTGATGGGATCCATGGCACACCATATATAGCAGCACCATGGATCCGTCATGGGGTATTCGAGACGGTTGAGCCAGTGGCACAGTGGCAACCCAAGTCGCACGTTGGGAACTCCATACCTTTGTGGTGCCTTGGTCCTCGAAGATGAACTCCGACTTCCTGGCCTATGCCAAAACTATCCCAAAAAGGATGGATTCAAATCTAAACTGGTTGGTGGTTTCAAACATGAATTTCATTTTCCATTTCATATATGGGAATAATCCTTCCCAATTTGACGCACTCCATCATTTTTCAGAGGGGTAGGGCTCAACCACCAATCAGATGGATTCAAATCTAAAGAACGGCACCGCCCTTTTTTGCGGGTCCAGAATGGGCCTGCACTGACTTGACCCACTGGCGAAACCTTCCACCCAGCCAAGATTCGCGGAGATATCAGAATCACCACTATATCACTAGTTAATTATGTTATAAAATCCCCAAATATTGCTGAAACTTCACCAGGAAATCCACGAAAGATAGTTGAATGTCACAATGTTTCCACCGTTTTGGTGAAATGGTTGATGATCTCCCCATTATATATATATATATTATATATATTTTTTGATTAGCTAAACATATATAATTAAAACTATCATTTCTATGACTCAAACCCATGATCCCCCCTCTTTTTCCGCATTTCCCCCGATTTTTGGCAGCTTTCCCTAGGCCCTTGGAGCTGCGTTTGGGCGCCTACTTCGCCACGGGGCACCTGGTGGCTGTGGGCAGCGCCACCCAGCTGCGCACTTCGTCGACGTCGACGGAGACGTCGCGGCGGGTGCTGCTGGGGACGGTGGAGCGGCTGCGAACGCTGCAGGGGGCAGACTGGCCTGTGGAGACTTGGAGGAAGTGGGTGCAGAAAATCTCATGGTGGCATCAGGTATAATGTCAACCCCGGATTTTGCTAAACCATGGTTTATGAAAATTAGGGGGTATTCCCCCACAAACGTCATGATTTGATACTTTAATGTGATTTAAAACAATGCCATGTTTACCATCCCCCACCATTTTTATAGGTGGTATAAAGCATTCCCAAATGAGTGGTTTATTATTGTTTTACCAACATTGATAATAATAACAATAGTAATCAACATAAAAAATAATGATGAGGTATTATTAATTTCTTCCATGATGTCACATTACATGTCATGTTGACAGAATGCCCCATGGGACGTGTCGCGGGAAGAAACGGTGTCTTGTTCGGCTTGGCAGGTTGGTGAACGTCAGCAATGGGCAAACATTATAAACATTACCCTCTGGTTATGACTAACATAGCCATGGAAAGATCCACCATGCTATTAATATCTATTAATAGGTAAACCATCTATTTCTATGGGCCATTTTCCATGGCTATGTTAGTCATAACCAGAGGGTACATCTATTCGACCTTAAGATTCCAAGAATGGAGACGTGATCCGCATAGACCAAAGGACATCGCTAAGCTTTATTTGGATATCAACGAAACAAGGGGTCTCTGCATCCAAATGTACCATGGGTTTGACACAAAACAAGGGGTAACTCCGGCTAGACATGATAAATGTTTCATGCAGAATCATGTGTGTTTTGAACCTAGGAACCACATACCCTTTCTTGGGTATGCGGTATTAAATACTTCCCAAATGGCAAGGTAATTTTTTTTGGTCAAACTGTCATTTTTTTTACATATCTTTGATCTACCAAGTTTCCCCCCATTGTACCTGGAGCGTTTGGAGAATTCCTGTCTAAGACGCGGCTGAGGAACTGAATGCGGAAGGACTCTTGGATGAATTCGACCTTAAAAACTGCGAACAGTCTACCATAAGTTCGCGTTTGAAAATGCTCAGAAAATGCTCAGAAAATGGCTATGGATCAATACCAGTACCATTTTTCGTGGGTGATTCACATCCATAAATCCCAGCTATTTTGATGTTCACTACAGGGGGATCCTATTGGTTTTGACCCCCAAATGAGTGAATAACCAACTTCCGTCCCGTTGGATTGATGCAAAATTGGGCCCGGGAAATCCCATGGTTGGCGCGGCTTTCATGAATTTCGACATGTTTAAAAAACGTTGATCAATCATATGGCAGTGTGTCAAAACCCTGGATCCCCCTGGTGAACATCAAAAGAGCTGGGATTTATGGATGTTCATCCCCCTAAAATGGTATTAATAGGTATTGATCCAATATCAATCCATCATCTGGGTGTTCAGAAAAATCATTTTCCTATATATTTTCCTGATTCGAATGGCTGAAATAAAATGGGGGATGTTTTTTTGGGCCCCATTTTCACACATACCCCAGTGAGAAGCATGCTGACGCTGCATCTGCGGCCACCCTGGATCCGGAAGCAACGCAGGTGATAAAGTCATTATATTTTATAAGAAAACATAGTTACCCTCTGGTAAATTAACTTGTTGACCCTGAAAATCACCAATTTTTAATGGAAACTAGTCTTCCAACCCCTATCTGCCAGGGTCTATGTTAATTTACCAGAGGGTAACACATTGTAAAAAAATGAGTGACCATTCAAACTGGCATGTAGCATACCCCATCCATGATTCATGTTGGATTCATATCCGAATTTTAGACAATTTGGTGTTTACAAATTTTAATACCGCCAGCAATGGAGGTGTGTTTCCTAGCATCGGGCGAGAAAATTGCCGTGCTTGAGGCAGCTGAGTTTGAAGGAAAGTCCGCCAAGGTTGTGAAGCAAGCCTTGGTAGCCAAGATTGGTGTCACCATATTTAGACAAAGGCTCTTTCTGGAAGGTGATGCTGTTGAGATCCCAGATCATGAGGTTTTTGCCTCGCCTGCAAAGGTTCAGCTGCTGGTCTTGGAATTTTGCCCACCAGATGCAGAAGAAGACGAGCGGATGATGGCAGCAAGGACGACACAGTTGGCCTTGAACGGTTGCTGAAATGCCCGCGCAGTCCGAACGCAAGAGATGCCTTTGGGCATGACTCCCTTGTACCATGCAGCAGAGCACGGACATCTTGAGGCCATGCGGTTGTTGGTGGAGTCAGGTGCAGAGATAGACACATTATCGACAAGACTACAGATGGCCCCCCTGCACATTGCTGTCCATGCTCACCTCGAGGTAGTGCGTTTTCTGGTGGAAAACGGTGCGCGGAAAGATCCGCAGGACTTCGTGAAGTCAACACCATTGCTACTCGCAGTTCATCGCGGCCATGTCGACATTGCCCGCTTTCTTGTGGAGAAGGGAGCCGCCCAGGATGAGCTCTTGACCGGGAAGGCCCTGATTTCGACAGCTAAATATGGCTCTCTGGACATGGTCTGCTTCCTGGTCGACATGGCTTGTGACAAAGATTCGCGACCAACCAGTATGGGGTAACGCCTTTGATAGGTGGAGTCTGGTGCCAATCCTCATGCCATCGACATCGAAAGACTGCTTGGGATCAAGCATTTGGGTTTGTCTAAAAATAGGGTATATTCCCAATTATAGCGATTTAATAGGGATAATGATCATTAACCATTGGGTGTAGGGGTACACTATTTTCAGACACACCCATTTGAGCGCGGCCATGCGGAGGTTGTTCGCTATTTGTCGAAGTTCTGTCAGCAGACTCGCCCTTTTGTCGGGAAAAGTTCGAGGATTTTTCACTATTCGAGACGTTGTTCCATTGAGGGAAGACACTGCGAGGTTGACCACACAGGGGGTATCCCAAATCATCCAGTCGTCAGTAGACCATGAAAATTAGTGTTGAAACCCCAAGGGTGACGAAAAATGGGATTCCCCATTTTAAGAAGCGCCCGTATTCTGGGATATCCCACATGATTCTTGGGTTGATGAAAATTCTATATGACTGTTTCATACTTAAAGTGAGGCCCTTGCTTACGATGGCAAAGGTGGTTGAACATAACTTCAATAATTATGGTCCATGATACTTATTACATCTTATAGCTATATTTACTTATATATATATATATACATATAGTGGGGTCATCTGGTAGTTACATAGTGGAGTTTAGAAACCAACAAGTTTTGTGTTGTGATACTGAAAAAGCATCTTATAGGCTATACTTTATAATGGGTGCTTATACCCTCTGGTAATTGAACATAGCCATTGAAAATGGCCCAGTCGAAATAGTTGATTTACCGATTTACCCCTTAAAAATGGTAGATCTTTCCATAGTGATGTAAACGTTTACCAGAAGGTATCCCCCTAAAAACTCATAAAAACTCTATAAACCCTCTATATCCTCTGGTAAATCACCAAAAAAAAGGGTAAATCACCCAAAAAATTGGGAAAACCCACGAGTTCCCCCAGGGCCTCCCACCATCACCGTCGCCGGCTGCACCTTCACCGGCGACGGCAGCGGCGGCTACGGCGCCGTGTTCCGCGCGCCGGGGCAAGAGCTGGTGATCACGGCTACGGATGAGCGGGCGCTGAAGGCGGGGGAACTTGGGGGGTTCTGAGGATTTATAGGATTTTATAGGTATTTTATTGTGTATATATATATATATGGGTATGTCTGAAAATGGGGTATACCCCCAATGAAATAGCCATTTAGTAGGGATAATGATCAGCAAAACCATTGGGTGTAGGGGTACACTATTTTCAGACAAACCGGTACAATATGGGTTTAGTATAGGTTTAATCGATCATCCAGGTAATGGTTGGGTATAGTTTAAACATGCTGTGGAGTTAGTGGAAGTTGGATTAGATTAAACATATTAAAGCCATGAATTGGGGGTCATAAGAACTTTCAGAAGGGTGAAGATAGCAATTTTATATCCCCAAGGGATGACCATAGCCACATTTCGCCACATTTCTATAATGTCAACCCCGGATTTTGCTAAACCATGGTTTATAAAAATTAGGGGGGGGTACTCCCCAAATAGTCATTTCATCTGATATAATCTGATACTTAGATGGTATCCCGGTATCCCCCCAATTAAACAACCGTTTTTACGGGGTTTATTAATCCAGGGTTGACATTACCATGTTACCATCTTTTGACCATGACATACATGAGGGTGACTTTCTAGGCGACAAAATTGCTATGGAATTACCCGGCCTGGTAAACTAACATAGCTGTGGTATAGATGGCCCATAGAAATAGATGGTTTACCTATTAAACATGGCGATTTTCTATAGCTATGTCAGTTTACCAGGCTGGGTAACCTAGAAAATGGTAATGCTAGCAGCACCAAGTGTTCCCTGCAAATGGATCAACACCCTCTGTAATCACTGCTGGAGGGTCATTTCTCTTAAGAGAGCAGGTCCCATCTATTCTTTGCTACACTGAAACTACACCCACTTGACGGTTTCGAAGATACATTCTCAATGACAATTTGTCGTCTTGATTTGTTCCCCTTCGATCCTAGTTTTGGATGTATAGATAGGCACTGTTGTTGGTGAAACATCACCCCATATCACGAGGCATCATCATTTTCTTGTGGTCATAGCTCCATGGATTCACACCCCGCCAGCATTTTGTGCTGGCAAAACGTTGTTTATCGTAACGGTGGAGGTCAACACTGGAATTGGACCGACCAGCGGAATACTTCTGATTCAGGAATTTGCACACATTGCTCAGTTTATATATATGGGTCAACGGCCCCGTACTTAAAGATGAACGTTAGAGAGCCACTTTTTTGTATTATGAAGTTTTAGTGAATCTTTATATATATATATACATACCAAAGAAAAACCATCAACCACCAATGCTTGTTTGGTTTTGGTCAACCGTGTTTGGTCTTCGCCAACCATATGATTTACGGGTAAATATGTGTCTTTTGTAAATTCTAATCCAATGTTATCACATGTTATCACCATCACCTTGATGATCTTTGATGTTTCTAGTGTATATTTACAAGTGAAATCACATTTTCTCGGATCAAATCCCGTTTTTCCGCATGGTGAACTCCCTATTTTTCGGATGGGTTCCCTTCCCGAATTCTCCGAATTTTTGATGCTCCAAAAAACATCGGCCGATCAAAGGATGGAAGAAATCCTGCACCACCTTGGATGGTTGAAACCCTATAAATAATGGGATAAACCATCTATCAACTGGTGCAGGATTTCGCAACCATCCACAGTATCACATCTCCAGGACTTGGTCACTTTCAGCTTCGCGACCAATCAGCCGCACACGCGCGCGCCCATGTCCAACATGCTGCCGGATTTCCTGATCACGGGACCGGACTTCGCCTGGAAGGGCTATGGAGGCGATGGATGGCGATGGGAGGCAACTCTTTTTACGGGAAATCACCATGGAAATCACATGGAAATGTGCCATGAAATCTATGGGGAATTGATGTTTTTTTTTTTTTCTTTTGTACATTTTATGCGTGTTCAAGAGGTGGGAAAAACAAAAAATCGTTGTGTCCGAGCCTGGCCATGAAATGACCCATCCGAGCGTTGGTGCTTTAGCCAGTCAAAAAGTCAGGTTGACGCATTCGAAAAAAATGTGATCGAAACCATCGAATTTTGGGGTTTGAACAATTTTGTTCTCTCCACGAATTGTGAGTTGAGATTTCTTGAAGGGCCAGAGGCGCGTTAAAATTGAGATTGGGTAGGTAAGCATCCCAACTGACCTCAGGAATGGGGATGTCGGCGGATGTAGGACCTCTTCCCAAAAACAACAAGCTTGAGCTTGAGAGTGCAATCAGCAGCTATTGGGAATATGATAATGATAGATTGAGGGGGAAAAAAGCAGGACCCCATCTTTCATAGTACCCTCTGGTAATGACTAACAGTTCGCGAACTTGAAGCCATGGCCCAGTCGAAATAGTGGATTTACCCATTAAAAATAGTGATTTTCCATAGTTTTCCCATTAAAAATAGTGATTTTCCATAGTTTTCCCATTAAAAATAGTGATTTTCCATAGTTTTCCCATTAAAAATAGTGATTTTCCATAGTTTTCCCATAAAAAATGGTGATTTTCTGTCGTTTTTTGGGACTGTTGACCGGGTGGTTTTTCACCCCGTTCAACACCATGATTTCCCTGGAAAAAGATCATCCAATAGCCATCCTAAGATCTAAACTGTCCCATAACGGCGATAACGATATATGGGAAATCACCATGCTATGTATGTAGCTGGGTATAATCAACTATTTCGATTGGGTCATATTTCGATTGGGTCATTTTCCAGTTCGCGAAGTGTAAACGTTTACCAGAGGGTAACATTGCTAAACCTGATTACCCTCCGGACATTTTCCACGTAGCCATTGAACATCGCCCGCTTTTTGTTCGTTGATTTCGCCATCAGGTGTAGTGGCTGCGGGCTTTTGGGATGAACGTTGGCGAGTCTTGGCAGGTGGGTTGTAAACCATGGGAAATTCCACCATAAATGGGGACAACCATGGGAACTACCAATTTTTTTGACAATGTTTGGTGCCACATTTTGGTTTTATATGCTAAAAAACGCACAGGATGTTTGGAGCCAAATTGGCTGATGTCAATCCAATGTTATTGAATAGAGAGCCACGATTAGAATTAGATTGGTTAGATATGGTTAGTTCCTATTCAACCAGATGTTCCTTACAATGGTGGCTATTCATCTACTCTAACCATATTCAATTGTTAATTAGATGAGATTGGGAAGGGAGATGTTCCCTACGGGGATGTTGCCATGTTGCCACAGCCCCCTCCACTTCCGCCTAGATCGTCTTGGACGCCAAGGAGCAGCCCCGAACTCGGCGTATCTGCAGTGCTGAGACGACACGGGCGGAACCTGCGAGCGGAACCTGCGAGCGGAACGTTTAACGACGCCGAAACGCCGAGAGCTTCCGACGTGGAGCTGGAGATACACAGCGAGGCGAAGATTGGTTCCATGTTGGGAGTGCTGGTGGTGTTTTTTTTTTTTTTTTTCCATATATTGGGAATAATAATCCCAACTGACGAACTCCATCATTTTTCAGAGGGGTAGGGCTCAACCACCAACCAGATATGGAGGTTTTAAGTTTTAACCCTAGATTTCCATCATCCAATTTTTTCGCCCAAGGGATAAAAACCTCTACTGTATCTGGTGAAATTATAACGACGTCTCCAGGATATCACCAAAGATGACGAGTCGACCTTGTTTCAGCATGTTTCAGCTTGGTGAATTGCTAATCCCCCAAGACTAGCCACGAGTGGTATATAGTTATGTGTATATCCCATTGGGGAAGGTGACTATGGCATTGTGGATATTGTGGATCATGGCAATTATATCATATTTAATATCCAGCCATATCAGAACTATCCCACTTGTCATCAGTAATTTACGATCGTTTTCTTCGCTGATATCCATTTTGAATAGCCCCATTTGAATCAAAGGTGCCAATGCTCATTGGGTCTTAAAGACGATTATACGACCTAGTAGGGGACACCCAAAAAAAACAGTCGATGGTGAAATCCCGTTTCACCACCGGATATCCAATCCCACCTTAAAGGTTTCCAATTCTTTCCCCATTGACTTGTATTTTATAGTATTGATTGTTGGACATATGGTATATGACATGTCATAGATATCCCATTTATATCCCACTATACCCCTCTATGCTTAGTGAGATTCCATGATGATTGAGCCATGAAATACCATAAATGAAATATTCTGGGATATTTGATGGTCAAGTAATAGTCAATTAATACCATGTCATTTCATAGTTGCCCTCCGGCAACTTGACATTGCTATGGGAAAAAATGGGAACCATGGGGTATGGTGTTTTCCCTTTCTTCTTTGGTTTGTGCTTTCTCTTCCCGGCTTGGTGTTTTTGCTTCCCTGGTGATTTTGCTTCTGCGGGCTGGTGTTTTCTGTTCCCTGTTACCCTCTGGTAATCAAACATGGCAATGGAAAATCCATCATTTATATATATTATAGATGTTTTTCCCAGCTAGAAACCTCCATTTACAGGGGATTTTCCATTGCCACGTTGATTTTCACGCGATTTTCACAGGCTCCGGTAGCAAAAGAAAACATCAGAAACCACGAGCTATACACAAAGCTCAAGGTAGGACCTGGGGGGGGGTGACCATATACATATATATATATATATCCTAATATCACATATTTATACATATGTCTTTCAACAAGAAATAGCTATGTAACAAAGTGCCAGAGGGAAAATCCCATTAAACATCATTAAGCAGCTGCTTTGAAAGCTAAAATCCCATTAAACATCATTAAACCTCTATTTTTGAAAGCTTAAATCAACATCGCTGCTGCTCTAATCTCAATTTGTCACTGCTGAAATCAACATCTCCACTGGCAAAGGTCGTTGTTCCTCATCCATGCGGCCGAGAGAAACGAGACGAGGAGACGAGCAGCTCGGAGCTGGGGAGCTTCGCGGAAGACTTGTTTTGGTACAGGTCATGGTGGCAGGGTTTTTTCTAGCCTAAACATATCGAAACATGGTATTTTTGACGATATATAACGGTATATACTAACATCATTCATGGGGCCAGGTTCTTTTTTTTCCCCGGGGCAATGCTGGGGCACAGAAAATTATCGTTTTTACAATTGGACATAGGGTTTCCTGCATAGTTTCCCATAGTTTCCCTTCATCCAATTTTCCTGACACATGCCATCCAAAAAGACCAGTGCTGTAAAAAAGGAATCAAAAGGGCCAACGCATTTGGGAAACTCATTGCTGTTTCATGGTGTTGAAGTTTCCTTTGGTTTCCGGCCATCAAGGACGCGGTGGCAGTTAAAAAAAGCCAGAGATGGTCAGCGGTGGAAAAGGGGTGAAGCACTGTACTTGGAATGGGTCAAACCGACTCTGATTGGTGGTTTGGAACATGAATTTTATTTTCCATTTCATATATTGGGAATAATCGTCCCAACTGACTTTCATATTTTTCAGAGGGGTAGGTATACCACCTTTCTTTGGCAAAAAAAGGGGAATGCATTGACCTCACCAGCTAAAACATACTTGGATGTTTTTTTGCAGGGTATGAAAGATTGGGCATGAATTGCTGGTTGGTGGTTTCAAACATTTTTTATTTTCCAAAACATATGGGATATATAATCCTTCCCATTGACTAACTCATATTTTTCAGAGGGGTAGGGCTCAACCACCAACCAGATTGGATTGTTTCGGTGCTGTCCAGGTCATTCCGAATCATTTCGACTTCGTTCAGACTGGAAGGATTTACATGCCTCATGTTTGGTAAGTGGTGAGTTACCATGCCGGGCCTTCCAACCGAAACTTGTTTTGAAAAAAAGGGTTCTGGTAGCTAGATGTTAGATGTAGCAGTTGAGATTCGTGGTCTTCTAAAACAGCAGATCTCCGGATGACTCTTCTCCAAAACTTGAAACTCAACTGCACGGTTCCTCAGTAGCATGAACATACTTTCAAGATCTTTCAAGATTAGGGAATTCAATGTGCTATCAACCATGTCATCCATCACAAATGTAAACGTCATTTATTATGCAAACTATATCCCAATTGGATCCAATTGGTAAACACAAGCACCATTTTTGCATGATGATCTTTGAGTTGGTTTTCACCAATGCTCGCCATGAAGTCGCAGCACATGACTGCAATCGGGAATCTGTTTTCAGCATCGCTGATGTAGAGCAATGTTTCGGAACTTTGGAATGGATCAGGATCTTATTATAGACATGGGGTGAATCTTCCAAGATCGATAAAAGTACCCTCTGGTAATGACTAACAGTTTGCTATTGAAAATGGCCATTTATAGTGAGTTTTCCTATGTTAGTTTACCAGAGGGTAACAGGTTCTTTGGGTCAGTCGACAAGTCTAGTCTGAATTCCCAGCATCCCCAGAGTAGATTCTCTTGATTCGAGGCAACTGCAGCTTTTTACTGCTCACATGTCGCCCAACAATGTTTCAAAGATGAAAGCATCAAATTCACAGTGGTGAACCACTCTGGTGCTACGTTTCGCCTTGGTTCGACAACCGGGTCTTGGAACCATTGTAAAGAAACATTGTACGACATCTAATTATATAATCATGTAGTATTATATACATGTATAATATACATCAGTATGGATTTATTGTGAATTTGGGCTATGAATTATTTTCTTATAGGATGTTGATGTTTGGCAATGCACGTCACCGAAAAACAACCAAAAAACACAACTGCCACGGTCGCTTCGCAGAGCAATCTGCGGTAGGGCTGCCAGGTGGAGGGTTGCTGCGAACTAAGTGGATGAGACGCATAGTTAACTTTGGATATACCCTCTGGTAAACGTTTACATAGCGACATGGAAAATGGCTAGTTAGCTAGTTCGTTGATTTACCGAACTTGAAAAAATCGTGATTTTCCATAGTTTTTTGTAAACGTTTAACTAGAAGGTAAGCATAGTTGCAGTTATGTCTCAAGTTACACCACTGGATCACCTGAAGCTGTGACTGTTGGATGTTCTGGGGGATCCCCAGTGGAATTTCCATGGTTGTTTCAATACAGGGCGTCATGGTCGAATGACTGGATGATTTGGGGTGAAAATTTTTAGGCAACTCCCTATGATAATAAGCCTGTCCAGCGTTTACCCCGCATTTTGGACTCTTGGCTATCATGGGGGAACAAGGAAGAATGGAGCACAACACCAGTTCGATCGAAGGGCCACTGTAGTCCACTGTATATGCAATCCAAAGCATCAACACGCAGAACGTGAACGTCCCAGGAAAAACTGTATTGTTCATCTTGGGACGTTTTTCGCAGGATGCTTTGTGGCACCAATAAACATCAAAATCCACCATGAAATGCGATGATTTATCATCATTTTCCCATAGTTCCCCATGAAAACCGCCAGAAATGGGGTTTCATTACCCTCTGGTAAACGTTTACAGTTTGCTATTGAAAATGGCCATTTATATAGAGTTGATTTACCCATGAAAAATGGTGGATCTTTCCATAGTTTTCCCATTAAAAATGGTGATTTTCCATAGTTATGTAAACATTTACCAGAGGGGACCCCACTTTCAGACCCATTCAGATGCTGCTGTGTCACCCTGGTCAACGATGGTCAACGTGGTCTTTCCGTGAAAGTAGCTGTTTCGGCTCCCCAGGGTATCCGCGATGGCAAGGGACGAAGTTCCCCTCAAGGTCGCACTGGATCAATGCATAGCAAGCGACCTTAAGGTCTTAAGGACCTTACACTACATATGATTCTTCAAACCTCCGGGGAAAAACCTAGAAATGACATGAGATTCAGTTTGGGATTTTGAATTTTGAATGATCCAATATATCCTAGGAAGGCTCAAGTTTGAGACAAATCGCAAACTGCGACTCTTCGAAAGGATCACTAAAAGCTTGATACACAAAACCAAGACACCTCAAAAACGCAACACTTCTGGGATGAAAATGACAGGAAAGCCCTCACTTCGGGCTGTGAACATAGAACCAGTTCATGGTATTTTCGCTCCAACTTCCATAGAATCACGCAGAATTCCCGAAGAAATCCACGCGATTCTGTGCGCAATTGGCCTAGAAATTGCCTCGTTTCCTTCACTGCCAAAGCGGCCAAAGAGCTTCACAGTTTGGCGGCGAAACTTGGCGAAACTGCTGGTTGGTGGAAGCTGGGTATTTTTCCAGACCACCATTTGTTTGGATGGTAATACCCGAAGCAATAATTCATCATCCCCCAAAACACCACATTATTTACAGTAATATTATTTTATGGGTACCCTCTGGTAATTCAACAGTTCACTATTGTAACATGGCCATTCAGTTCGTTGAATTGCCCATGAAAAACATGTTGATTTTCCATGGCAAACCGTGTTTACGTGTACCAGGCCGGGTAACTATCATCCTCTGGCGTAACTGGTTGCATTGTGTCTACCACGTCCCATGATCCCAAAATATGGGGGTACCCCAATTCATCCAACTATATCCTGCTGGTTGGTGGTGACTGGAACATGAATAGACTATTTTCCATTTCATATGGCTGGGATGTCATCCGAAACCCATTGAGGAAGTCCATCATTTTTCAAGATGGTTTGGTGGCACCACCAACCAGTATCATATTAGACCTATTATATCCCATTATCATATGGCATGGGAACTGGGTAACTAGTTTTCCAAGCCATCCATGACGTTTACTTCCAACCGTCATAGCTATGATTTCATCAGGTATGGAGAAGATGGTGAAGATGACTAAGTTACTAAGGTTATGGCACCCAGACCCCCGTGTTTTACAAACGGCCATGGCGCCATGGCCGTTTGTGGCAAAAAAACATGTCGTTCCTGGCAATCAAGGTCACTACCGTCATATCATAATTATCGGGTGGTGATGCTTGGTAGGTAGTTATATAAATAACTAAAGAGTAATTGCTCATCATGACTAAAGAGCAATGGGGTTGTTTGCAAACGGGTTACACCTAAAATTGGTTGTTCATCATAATCTCCCCATGAAACATTGTACAACTGACCATTTTGGGGTAGTTTTTTCCCAATTTTGAGAGACACCCGGCCATCATTCACCAACCAAATCTTCCACCGAATTTCTACTAGGTTTTACAAGGATTTTACCAACTTCTATCTTTTTGGGTGTTCGAATAATTACCATCTGGTTATGACTAACATAGCCATGGAAAATCACCATTTTTAATAGGTAAACCATCTATAAATGGGCCATTTTCCATGGCTATGTTAAATAACCAGAGGGTATTTATCACTACTCAAGAGTAGTCACTCATTGGTGGCGAATTTCTGGGAGAAAAATGCTGCAACAACTAGGCTTTCCGGTCGAAATCTTTCGAACATGGGAGGACCTAAAACACAACCATGAAATAACCACTGGTAAATGTTTACATGGCTATTGAATCACTATTTTTAAATATATTTTGATAGGTAAATCGGTAAATCAACATTATAAATGGGCCATTAACTAATCCTTAAAAAACCCAGCGATTCTCAGGAAGCCCATGACGGCCGAGCTGACGATGTGGTGTCTCGGCACATTTTTGAGAAACCGTCAACGAGGAGATGGTGGGACAATCACGAAATCGATCTTCAGGAATAAACAAATGGGTATGGGTCAATACCTATAGATACCATTTTTAGTGGGATGAACATCCATAAATCCCAGCTATTTTGGGGTTCACTAGGTACCAGGGTTTTGACCCATCCCCAAATTACCACATTCGCACATTCGCATGTAAGTCCTTCATCTATTTTCGTCATAGTCAGCGTCTTTCCATCTCTATCCTTAAATGATCTTAAATGGACATAGATGGAAGAAAAAAGTATGGGTTCCATATTGAGATATATATGGAGGTTTCCATCAATGGGGATACCCGAAAATGGATGGTTTCTTAAAGTTTATACTGTAATGGAAAATCCCATTAAAATGGATGTTTTAGGGGTACCCCCATTTTCGGAAACCTCAATAGACATAAATAAACATATTCCGAATCGACAGAAAACTCAAAGAAATGTGGTTTGTAGCTGCAAGAAATGCGCTCTGCAGGAAGTGTAGGGCTGTCCTGAGGACAGGAGGATTTGTTTTTTTTAAAGCACCAGAAGAAGTCCAGGTCCAGTTTCCAGTAAACAGTGGAAAAAAACCTGGGATTTGACATGATTGAACCAAGAATGAGATTCAAACATCAAAAAAATCGCTGCATCAACAGTGGAGATTCAAGAATTGTCTACTTTTACAATCAGTTTCCATAGCTATGTGAGTTTTGCTGGAGGGTATTAAAAAAAAGAACGGATACGGATACAACCAGCAAAAAATACAACGTTTAGAGGGAACATCAGAAATACGTTTGCC